TTCTAGGGAGGGCACACCCCCAAAAAAAAAAACCTTAAAAAAAAAAAAAAAAAAAAAAGAAGAAGAAGAAGAAGAAACTGAAGGCCTCTTTGAATAATCTGTGTTTTAGAGCTACTTTTTTGTGTACTTTTTTGTGTCTGATATAAAGTGCCAGAAATGGGGGGAGGGGGAGTAACAGGTGGCATGGGGGATAAAAAATAGATTTCCACATGGCCACCACGGTTCAAGTTCCAGAACCAGTGACTTAAAAATCTGAAAATCACACCAGGTGCATGTGCGTGCGCACCCGTAATCCCGAGAGGAGGATGTAGGAGGAGGGATTGTGGCACGGCTATCTTCCAAAGGGGTGATTTCTCACTTCCCTCTTGCTCTGTCTCTTTCTGTCTCCCTCTGGCCAGCACATGCACCCTGTAGCAAAACCAAAAAAAAAAGACCAGCGTTTTTTCAAATTCATCTTGAAATGTCATGAGAACCAGATCAGATTTAGCTGCTGGCTCATGACGGTGATTTCTGCTTTATCAAAAATTGAACATCCCCCCCCACCCCCACCCGCCATGGACTCCCAGCCACCTTGTCTAGGCGGAGCACAGCGACCTGTGACTGGCGGCAATTTCTACTTCGGCGTGTTGCTGTCGGATGTGAATTTTCTCAGTGACATGCTTAAAACGTTGCCATTGTCACTATTTCATATTTTGTGTTTTACACATTTTCATATCATGATGTGTTTAACTGCATTTGCTAATTCAGTTCTGAAGATTTTACACTTTCCTTTTTATTAATGGTGCGTCTCCTTCCCCCGGGAGTTGTCGAGCGTGAAAATACATGTATCATATAAGAGCGAGATGAGATCTTAAAGCCAGAAGGAGGGGGAAATTGTCTTTTCTGTGTGCTCTTGGTAGGTGTCTGTGGTTCTTCCTTTAATTCTTACACATTCATCCTTTTCATGTAGATATCAGTCATGTAACTCATCCCTGAATTATGCTGGTTGGCACATGCAAACCGAAGAAAAGCACAAAATAACTCGAAAAACATATTTATAGGGATGGGGGGAAACTCACTGTAGCTGCCCTGCCTGGGGGGCTCCTGTCTTTCCTTCTGGGTAATAGTCGTCTCCTGCTCTCAGAGAGGGGATGAACTGCCCACCCGTCCATGCCCGCCCTGCCTATGCAGCAGTCTGCTCTGGACACTTTCCTTAATGAATTTGCTTTCACTCTCTGAAAAAATAAACATAAAAAACTCACCCTATACAATGAAGTGACCACTGAGAGCAACGCTTTAGCGTTGAATTTATCCTCGCTATTTGTCAACCCCAAAATATGTTTTAGTTCATTAATATTTTTATGTCTAAAAAGGAAAGTATACATCAAATTTTTTATCTGCAAGACTTAAAATATCTGAAATTTAGAATCTTTTTTTTTTTTTTTGAGAGGTTTTTTTGCTATAGGGCGCGTGCACTCACCAGACAAAGAGAGACATAGAGACAGAAAGCGAGAAATCACCCCCCAGGGGGGATGGTCACGCCACAATCCCTTCTTCTCCATTCTCCTCCTGGGATCTTGGACACGCACGCACACGCGCCCGACGTTAGTTTTAAGCCACCGTGTCCGGGACGCGAACCATGGTCGACTACATGGGAGTCCAACGACATAGCCATTACGCTAACTGCTGGTTCCCTGAAATTTAGAATCTTAAACTATAGGAGCCAGCAGGTGGCATGGTGCTTAAGGCACTGGACTCCCCCAAGGCTGACCACAGTTCAAATCCCGACCTGGCAGCTTGCTCTCTCATTTTCCTTTTCTCTCTCTTTCTCTCTCTGCCTGTCTCTGGTGAATGTATATGCAATATAGCAGACAAAATAAATAATAATAAATAAAATGAAATAATTTTATAAAAAGATACACTTTAAAAAAAAGAATCTTGGGGACCAACAGTTAGCATAATGGCTATGTCGCTGGACTCCCACATAGTCGACCGCGGTTCAAGTCCTGGACCCAGTGGCTTAAACTCATGCTGGGCGCGTGTGCGTGTGTGCCCAAGATCCCGAGAGGAGGACAGAGGAGAAGGGATTGCAGTGTGGCCATCCCCCCTGGGGGGTGATTTCTTGCTTTCTGTCTCTCTGTCTCTCTCTGTCTGTCTGGCAAGTGCACGCGCCCTATAGTGAAAACCTCTCCAAAAAAAAAAACCAGAAAAAGAAAAAAAGAATCTTTATCTGGAAATTTCATATATAAATAACCTCTTTGCTTACCACTACTGCCAGGTTAGTCTCAATATATTAGACTTTCCAAACTGATACTATTGTTTATTTATTTATTTTAAATAATTATTTTATTTAACTTTATTTATTCATTTTAACTTGACCAGGGCAGAAAGAAGAGAGAAAGAGAAAGTGAGAAAACAAGCTGCTAGGTCTGGGACTTGAACTGTGGTCGGCCATGTGGGAGTCCAGTGCCTTTAACCACCATGCCACCTGCTGGCCCAGTACTACTGTTTATAAAGAAAGCATTTTTTGAGAAAACGCAAGCTGTTCCAGTTTGGTAGCGTTACTGTGTACACCTAGCAGTACAGTAACTTGTGTGTTTTACCTTTTGTAGCTAACCTTCTGTTAAGGATCTCCGAGAAAATGGATGGTTTTCACCCGTTTTTGTAGACAGCGTTGCCATGGTCTGTGCCATGCAGTTTTTGACTCTGGTATGTGGGTTCTTCCTCTCATCCAGAGCCCGTACTGGAAGGAAGCCCTCAACATCCTCAAGCTGGTGGTGTCTCGCTCGGCAAGCCTCGTGGTGCCCAGCGACATCCCCAAGGTCTACGCAGTGGGGGATATGGGCTCTCCTGAGATATCCTTCACGAAGATCTTTAATCACGTCTCCAAGGAGTTGCCGGGGAAGACCTTAGATTTTCATTTCGATATCTCTGAGGTAAGAGGCTCCCAAATGGTATGGGTGCCCCATTAGGGATCTCGCTTGTTCGTTTGTTTGTCCACGTCCGGAGCATTGACGGGCTACACTGTGGTAGCCACGGCGGGCAGTGCCGTGACACGCAGACACTCGGGAAACGCGTAAACGTCATGGTAAGTGCTTGACCACAGTCAATTAAGTGTGCTGTGGGAGGGGCGGCAGGTGGTGTGGTTAAGGCACTGGACTCCCACATGGCCGACTGCAGTTCGAGCCCTGGACCCGGCAGCTTGCCTTCTCACTTTCTCTCTTGCTCTCGTTCTGTCCTTCTCTGGTCAGATTTTAATTAATTAATTAATTAAGTTAAAACAAAATAATTCTTAAAAAGAAAAGAAAAAAGTGCTTGGGAATTTAACGTGTCCCTAAAGGCGTGGTTTCGGGAAGCAGGCGACTGTTGAAAAGTAAGCAGCCCTGTACAGCTGTGTGTGGTGCGTGTGAGGGGAGGCTGAGTCCAAGGCGTAAGGGCATATTGGCCAGCTATGGCCACAGACACCAGGCCCCGCCCCGATTACCCTGGGCCGCCCCTCACAGCCTCTGCTGACTCCCATGTCGTGCACTCCGATGTCCGCACAGCGCTGCGGTCACCTGGTGATGCAGTTCTCAGAATTAGCCCCATGCTGAGCGGCACACGGCTATCCTTGGTTTCAGTTTGTTTCATCCAGAATCCCTTCGCACCTGCTGCGTGTAGCACTGGCGATGCCCTGGAGGTGCAGAGGGTCTCACATGATCCCGGAAGCCTACGGGGTTAGAAGTGGGCACATACACGCGTTGCGGCCAGCCCGAGTGTCCACGCGGTCAGTGGAGGTGTGGTTCTGAAGAGGCTTCCTTGGACGCCCAGCACCAGCGTTAGGCTAAGTTAGGCGCTTACCTGCAGAGGGGTAACGCGCCAAGACAGGTCCGTAAAGCAGTCCCCTGGTGTGTTCGGGGATCAGAGCCGAGACCACTGCAGTGCAGCTGAGCATGGCGTTCCGGTTCCTGAGGGAGCAAGGTGAGGCTGGGGACTCACTGCCTGCAGGTGAGCTTGACTTTGTTTTCCAGTGCAAACTGCAGACACTTCACATCGCTGCGTAAATGAGTGTGCTTTTGATCATGTTTTACTGATAGAATTTTTTTTAATTACTTTTTAAATTAATTTTATTTCTTATTGTTATTACTTTCCAATTTGATCAGAGAGTGAGAGTGAGGGAAAGTGAGAAAGGAAGCCACCGAGTCCAGGACTTGAACCATAGTTGGCCCTGTGGGAGTCCAGTGCCTTTAACCAGCACACCACCTGCCGGCCCTACTCACAAAATTTTTATTGATTCAACTTTTAGAAATACTAGTTTTGTAGTAAGAAGCTATATAGAAATTTTTCTACATAGAGAGCAGGGGGGCGTGGTCACACTGCAGTCCCTTCCCCATTTGGGATCTGCAGCGTGACCACACGTGCCTGGTGTGTTTTTCTAGCTGACAGGCTGGGATTTGACCTGCAGTTGGCCGAGTGGGATCCCACTCCCTTAACCACTAGGCTAAGGGGCCTGTCCAAAATTTCCTCTTTGAAGTTGTTACTTATTTTCAAGATTTGCTAAAACACATTTAACAATATATAATGCAAAAACACCAAAATTTAATAGAGAGAAATCTAAGCGGCGAGGTTACAGGGTTTTTTTTTTTTTTTTTAATATTTTCGAACTTTCTACAAAGACGCTTTAGTTTATAATCATGGAGGGTAGAAGTATTAGTTTATAAAGAAAACATTATATTTGGGGGAGGGGTTGCCCTAGGGTGTATGCGCTGACTGGAAAGAGGGTGAAAAACCACCCCCCAGGAGAGATGGCCACACCGCAGTCCCTTCTCCTCTGTTTTCCTCTTGAGATTTTGGTCATATGTATATATATGCCCAGCGTGATCTTCAAGCTGCTACACCCGGGACTCAAACTTTTGTTGGCCATGTGGGAGTCCATTGCCTTAGCCACCACACCACCTGCCGGCTTCAGCAGATCATATTTAAAACAGAAATAAGCACTCCGATCATTTCAGATGTGAAGTTATTATTTTCAGTAAGTTCTCTTGATGAAAAACGGAGCAGCATTTTTTTTTTTTGGTAGGCAATAGAAAGTGGAAGGTGGAAGACCGGTGACCGCATGTAAGCTGGCTTTCTGTTGAATAGCAGCGTCAGACACTGCTCTGTTTCTGTGCAGACGCCGATTATCGGGAACAAGTACGGCGAGCAGCACGCGGCAGCTGGGAGGAACGGGAAGCCGAACGTGATCGCAGTCACGCGGAGTACGTCCTCGACCTCCTCGGGTTCCAACTCCAACGCCCTGGTCCCCGTCAGCTGGAAAAGGCCCCAGTTATCACAGGTACGTCAGAATGTGAAAATGGAACACTCGTAGCCTGGAGAAATCGGCTTAATTATGCATATGGAACCTAGACTGTGTCTGCTTTTCATCAGCATCCCTAACCCTGGACGTTTTCTCCTTCAGCGAAGAACGAGGGAGAAGCTCATGAACGTGCTTTCCCTCTGCGGCCCCGAGTCCGGCCTCCCGAAGAACCCGTCGGTGAGTAGCCACATTGGCGTGCGGAAAGCTCTGAAAGGCCACGTTAGTCCTCGAAGACTTCCTCCTGTCTCCCTGCTTGTCTCTTCTCACTTCCCCACGGTCTTAACTAGCAGTGACACGGCTTCTTGGCTGTTGTGCCACCTCACAGCCACGCTGATTGGGTCCCCAGCTAGTCAGCCGCGAGGAACCTTGGGGAGCCCCGGGGTCACTGAGGCCCACGTGGCTCGTGGGTGCTGACATCTTACATGCAGAGTGACAAAGCTGATGGGTCGGCTTCTTTTTTTTTTTTTTTTTTTTTTTTTTTTCCTTTTTTTTTTTTTCTTTTTTTTTTTCCTTTTTCTTTTTTTTTGCGGGGTGTCAGGTTGTATTTTCTTCCAATGAGGATTTGGAAGTGGGTGACCAGCAGACCAGCCTGATTTCTACCACCGAAGACATCATCCAGGAGGAAGAAGCCGCAGTGGAAGATAACAGCAGTGAACAGCAGTTCGGGGTTTTCAAGGATTTCGACTTTTTAGATGTTGAATTGGAAGATGCAGAGGTAAGAAGCTGGCCTTTCTATGATACCGTTTATGAAATAGTATGTCGTGAGAATTCAGGATTGGACCACAGGGATTTTCCTTATTGAGGCCTACGCACAGTCCAGAAGGTAAAAATTTAAATCAGGAACGAAATGTGATTGATCACTACAATCAATCAGTAAAAGAAAAGTCTGAAACAGAGGGGGAACCATCCCATTGTTCACCGTTATCTCTAAAACAAAGTAAAAAATGCATTTCTTCAAAAGTATTTTTAGGGCGTGCTCAGGCGTAAATGCGTTGCGTGAGCTGTACCAATTAATGTGTAGCAAAACAGTACAAAAAGAAAATCACATCCAAGTGGGTCAGGCATGAGGCCAGTGCATGGTGTGGTGATTAAGGCAGCTGGATCCTACACGTCTACTTACAGTTCAATTCCCAGACCCCCAGCAGCTTGAAAAACACACCAGGCACATGTGCATGCGTGCCCAAAATCCCAAAGGGAAGGAGACACTGAGGGGAAGGCCTGGCCATCCCCATGGGGGTTCTTCGTTTCTTTCTCTCTGTCTCTGTCTGATGAGTGGACATGGCCTCTTATAAATTAAAGGAAAGGAAAGGAAAGGAAAGGAAAGGGGCAGGGAAGGAAGGAGGGAGTTGATGGAGCACAGTTTTGAAGAGGGTGGCACTTAACAAAATGGCCGAGGTGTTCCTCTCACATTCCTACCACTTTTTCTGTGTAACTAAGTCAGATGCTTCCTTTCCTTCAATACCCAAAGGGCTTTTCCTCTGAGTGGACTTAGTTTGGACACAGTGGTAGTTAGTCAGTTCAAACTCAGGTGCAGAGTGGATCGGCTCACAGCACGGGGCTGGTCCAGAGTTAGACCCTAACTGCTGACGGAACTTCTGAAATCTCCCCCACCTCCGAAGCCCGCAGCGTGTGTTCATTCCCTCAGCGGTTCTAGTGAGGGCTGTCTCCACTGTCGCGTGTGTGCTGCGTGCACGGGACGTTTGAGAGAGTGTGTCGGAGGGAGGTGGTTCTCAGACTCTGACCTGCAGGAAGAACCCTGGAGAGCCTAAGATACTCTGCAGAACAGCCAGGGAAAGGTGCAAAGGCAGGGTGAGGAGGGCTGGACTCCTCGACCAGAGCAGCTCCGACTTTATCAGTTTTGCATCAGATTTCATCAGATTTCCCTGTGACATTTCATTTAAAATAAGTATTCCTCTGACTATTTGTTTATTTATTTAAATTTGACCAGAGAGGGACAGAGAGAGAAAAAGTGAAAAAGCAAGCTGTCAGGTCTGGGTCTCAAACCGCAGGTGGCCATGTGGGAGTCTAGCACCCTTAACCACCATGCCACATGCCAGCCCCAGTAGTCCTCTGCTTTATGTTTTTAAAAAGTGAGACTGGAAAACCTGTATTCTTGGGGCCAGCCTATGGTGTATTGGGTGGGGCAGCTTGAGCCTGCATGGCCGACTCTACAGTTCAAAGCTCAGAGTTGGTGGCTTGAAGGACATGCTGGGCGTGTGTGTGCCCAAAATCCCGAGAGGAGAGTCAGAGAGGGGATTATAGTAGGGCCATCCCCCTCAGGGGTGCTTTCTCTTGTTTTCTCTCTCTCTGTTTCTCTTGCACACACATACACCCTATAGCAAATTAAAAAAAAAAAAAAAAAGGAAATCTGTATTCTGAACAATCCCTTCCTAAATAAAGAGATATCCACCCCCCGAAATAAGTCGTATTTTGCTAGCCAGTTCAGTGTAATTTGCCACAGCAGAGCCTAAGAAAACGCGTAAGAATTAGGTTCTTACAGTAGGAGGGTCTTCCTCGGATAATGGAAACATAACGGCATAATCTTCAGGGAGGATGAGACCGAGATGTGCCATGTACCTTCCTGACCTTTAGAAATTGGCAAATTATATTTTGATAGCTGTGTTCTTGATTCTGAATTGTTTTATAGTAAAAAAACAAAAATGACTATTGAATTAGCCAGATCCACCTTACAGACTAAAACAACATGAACCGTGTATGTTGTCAACTGCATGTGGGTACTTTAAGTCGGTTTTTGCATGGTACCAGGCATTAAATCTATGTAAGTTTTGAAGATTTTCTTAAAGTTTGTGTTGCCAAAGCGTATCTTAAGAATGTTACGTGTCTGTCTCTGACTTCTCCTCACTATATTTCGTATGAACAAAAGCAGTTTGAGTCACATGTCAGCTTCCTGCACAAAGCTTAATCCAGAGCTTGAATCAGTCTATGGGTTTGAGAAATTGTAAAGTTTCCCCAGGAGTGTAGTGTATATTTAAGTGTTTGTCTTCGTTCTTTCTAATTCTGTATGTTTTCCTTTTTGCTAACCAGGAGCTGCAGGTAAGTTGCAGCCTGGTGTTGTGTGCTGTGCGTTTGTTGTTGTCTGCGAGGTGTCCGTCTGTCTGTGAGGTGTCGTCCGTCTGTGAGCTGTCCGTCTGTCCGCGAGGTGTCCGTCCTCCTTGCTGTCTCATCTGCGTTGGTGTATTAGAGTAGAGGCCTCGATGGCCGATTTAGTGGCCCCCAGGGATATGAGGCAGAAAGTCCAGAAGATGATTTAGTTCCCAGGTTATCTATCAACCACGTGATTGTGATCTCTTTAATATTAACATTTCACGATGGGTTAAAAGTTTACAGCAACTGAAGGGCTGACTGAAACTCTGCTTCTGACGACGCCGAGCGTTCCTCGCCGGTGCACGTTTGTGTGTGTGAACTGCTGCGTTTACGAGCGTGCACCTGAGGTGTAAGAACGCACGTCTTGCTTCCGCAGGGAGAAAGCATGGACAATTTCAACTGGGGAGTCCGCCGGCGCTCTCTGGACAGCACGGACAAGGGGGACACGCCCTCCCTGCAGGGGTACCCGTGCTCCAGCAGCACCCCCAGCCTGAGCTTGACCAACCAGGAGGACACGGACGAGTCCTCCGAGGAGGAAGCGGCGCTCACGGCCAGCCAGATCCTCTCCCGCACGCAGATGGTACCCAGCGACCCTGACTTCCGGGGCAGTCGGTCTTTCCTCTCAGCTTCCCCCATAGTGACCACCATCTTGGTTTTCTGGTTTTTGTTTCAGTGTGAGTAAAACACACACACTGAAATGAACACACAGCCGCAGAGGGAGGGCTAACCCTGTGACAGGTGACAGCACCCCGGCAGCCCTCAGCTACTGCCACGTGTCTGCCTGGCTTCTCTCCTGGGGGCAGAGAGTTCTGGGCACTCTGAGAGGCCCGCGGCTTGTGTGGCACTGACTGTCAGCCTTGGTGTGGCTGCCAGCACCGTGTGATCTGCGCCCACTCTCCACCTAGCTCGGGAGGTGTGGAAGGATGGCGGGGTGTCTGTCCCTGTCGCTGTCATGGCGTTTGGACGGAGGTGCTGACCCGTAGCCCAGCCAGATGGCAGAGATCTAAAGCACGAGTGAAAAGTGAGAAAGGCAGACCCAGGGAAGTCCGCCGTGCACAAGTGTGGGCTGCCAGCACCGTGTGATCTGCGCCCACTCTCCACCTAGCTCGGGAGGTGTGGAAGGATGGCGGGGCGTCTGTCCCTGTCGCTGTCATGGCGTTTGGACGGAGGTGCTGACCCGTAGCCCAGCCAGATGGCAGAGATCTAAAGCACGAGTGAAAAGTGAGAAAGGCAGACCCAGGGAAGTCCGCCGTGCACAAGTGTGGGTGCACGCGAGGTGTCAGCGGACGGAGAGAGGAGGCACGGGAAGCCCCCGTGGGCGACAGGGAAGTGGCCGGTGGCGACCCAGCACCTGCCCGCTGTGGGGACCAGCTCTGAGTGAGGGGTTGTTCACGCTAACCCAGACGTTCGCACCCACCCAGCCTGCCCATGAGGGGAAGAGTGGCCGGTGGGGGTATGCACCCTATGGCAAAAATCTCTCTAAAAAAAAAACATGGAACTGCTGGTCGTGTCTGCCTTGTGGGAATTTTCTAAGGGGGAGAGACATCTAGCACACAGTAAGTGCTTAGTAAACAGCTCTCGGGATCGCCGTGGGGCACAGCTGACCACCAACCCTAGCTATGGTGGTATTCAGATTTTTAAAAACGTGGTTTCCTCCTCATAGAAAACAATTCATTTCTGTCTACATACTCTAAATTGTAAACTTGATATTTCTAACTGAGCTCTGAAATGTTATAACCTTGCTTAAAAAGAAGAAAATGTGATTTTCTTTTTCTAATTAATTACTACTTTTCAAAGAAAATGAGCCCTCCTAGTGAGGGGCGGCCATTACAGCGGCTCTGCACTCCCACTCTTT